CACACCCCCATCCCCTCCCCTCTGCCTCGATAAAAATGATATATTTCAGGCTCTCAAGACCGTGGGTTTTTCGCGCGTTAGCTGGCCGTCGGTGAGAAACGTTGCACCGCGGAGTAGATCGCCGCGCCGAGTTAAGAAAGTACTAATGGCTTCGTTAATGCCGTGCAATCGGTCGGAGAGAACGGAGAGAGAATGAAATTTTCAGATGCTTCTCCGCGCCAGAAGCGATAATCTCACGCCATCGATACGATCCTCCGGCCTTTCCACGATGATCAATCCTGCCCCGTTCGTTCGGAGGCCAATCAAAAATTAGACAATCCTCGGGAATTGATACGGCAACCTCTTTCCCGAGAGCGCGGCTGTACACCGTGGAAAGGCGAGAGGCTAGCAAACGAGACGCGCGATGCGATTGCAACCGGCTGTATGGTCGGGCAAATTTATTCATCGGATTATTCAAATTGAAAGGCGTACACGGCAGAGATATTGCGGTTTCGTAGTTATCGGCGCCTGGCGTGCAAAGGCCGAAGCAAAATAGAAGGGAACGACGGCCGAGAATACACCATTGTCGACGACCAGTACCTGTCGAAGAGGGTGATGATTAGCGTTTAATGAAAATTAAGGAGGCTCGATGGTTGATCTTCCAACGTATACGTGGGAAAACCAATTAGATACTTTTTTTGGAATGTATGTTTTAAATAATTTACACATTTCTTCTTGATAATATTTTCTTTATTAATTACTTCTTCTAATGTTTATTTTTAATAATATTACTTTTTAAATGATAATTATACCACAAAACGCAACGAATGATGAAGAATATTAATTATATAATAATATAAATAAGAAGAACGAAAGAGCGCGATATGTCTTCGTTTCAGAACGGAACAAGCAAGTTATCAAGTATCTTCCAATTGCCATGATTTCCAATTATTCGAGCCACTCGTTCAGAATTTGGAATCCGATAATCCATAAAGCGTTTGTACCACCGCTTCCGTGACGTGTTTCGGTTAAAAATATATTGACCCGGATTCATTGAAAAATTATTGGATATCGTACACGTAGCGGCTGCTTCGATCACCAGCCGGGGACCGATAGTTTCGGATGAACTCTGGACCGCTGATACCAATAGCAAAGTTCCCAGATGATCAACCGTTTCGGCGGTAACGTTGGCCAAACGTGCTTTAACTTTGCCGATCGGACGACGATCGAAGTCGTTAGCTAATATACGCTGCTTAAAAAACAGGACAGACGCCCTAGGTCACGTCGAGCAACTCTATTGTTCGACGACTGTCAGATTTCACTTGAAACCAGCTCGAATCGGATTATCGACGAGAAGGCAAGAAAACGAAACGAAAATCTAAAATTAGAATCGATCGTTTCGTTTGCGAGCTGCGAGACGAGAGCGCGGTAGAGCCCTCGAGCGTCGAGAATCGAGAATCGAGAATCTCGTTCTCGACATACGTGCAACATACGTACTCCGCCGGATTTCTCGCGAGTATCGGTACAGCGGCTCGATTGCGAGACGCGTGTACACAGCGATCGGACTTTTTTTTTCTAGAAACGACGACCCGGTGAGGCTGGTGTCTTTGATTCTGGGTCACGCGATGACAAATTGATGGAGACGCGGCGGTGTCTTCTCTGTTCGACGACTTGGAGGACGGTCGCCACGACCGTGTTTTCCAGTGACCCGATCGGGGGCTTGTACGGGGCGACTTCGATTTTCGAAGCTGTCAAACGCAGTCGCCGTGTCGCGCCGTGCCGGCCTGGTTATATTTGTTGTACGTCGACGTGGATTTTTCCAAGCGGAAAAACGCGTCGCCATTATCGCGAGACACGCCGGGGATTACATAATTTCCGTAGCGAGAGTGCTCCCGTCCTCCCCGTGACTACTCGATTACCAACCGCTTGATGGAGCCTTTTTTTTGCAGGGAGAGAGGAGAAGTCTCGCACGTACGCGGGGTGGTGAAGGGGTGAGGGGGCTGCAGAGATACAGGAATCGTGAAAATTTCGATGACGACGACGGGGTGGGAAGCAGCCACGCGACAAACGAGTGCGTTTGTTCGACGTCGAGCGTCGTCCCTGCGGCGCGCTGATAATTGCCGCGGCATTCAGGTGTAATTGTTCGGATGAGCAGCGGCCAATTAATTATCGCGAGGCCACCGACCGAGCCGCGCCGTTTTATCAGCGGCGCATGATCTACGAATACACGGTGGCTGGCGGGGATACGACCGGGTTTACGTGTTGGCGTGTGTAATAATCGAACGGTGCGCGCCGAAACTACGGGGAAAGCAAAAGGTCGGTCGA